ATGCTCGCCTTTGGAGCCGGGCTGTTGGACCAGCTTCATAAAGTCCTGGTACCACCTCATGGGTGGGACCCGGTGGGGGCCCAGGGTCTCCTCTGCCCGGTATGACGGAATGACCTCCAGGCTCAGCTGGAGGAGGAGCTGCGTGAAGCCGTGTTCCGAAGAGTGACACAGATAGGTGCCGGTGTCACGCCTCATGACCGCGCGCAGGAGGATCCCGCGATCCGTGCCGATGACGCGCTCGTCAAACTGCACCTGAGGAGAGACAACAAAAGGTCACCACCGGCCGACCAACAATCAAGAGACATTCAGGGCGTGGCCTTCAGGTTGGGGGCCCGAGTTCTCTAGTAATGGCGGCACCGGTGGGCCCGGCGTAGCTCCAAGGGGAGATTATATCCCGCCATGTACTAAGAGGAGGAGCCGGCTCCTCGGAGGAGGGGAACATGGAGGTCCCGGTCCTCGGGGTCATTGGTTAGCTGAACCCGGCCCAGGAGCACCATGAAGAACGTCTCATGGCTTGGCCTCCATCCCCCTCACCCTGGGCGTCCTTACCCTGCAGTCTTACCAGCGTTGTCACCTACCATCCACCTTCAACCATGCTTTACAATGGGAGTCGTCACCCTGCAGGAAGTGCACCCCACCCAAAACTACCCCCGGGGGAGGAGGAGCTGCTCACATAATGCCCCGCCTCCCGATACCCTCAGGATTGCACCTTCCCACGTGTCCTGCACCAGACGGGGCCCTGGGGCCACCCGCAGCCTGCGCCGGGGATTGCGCCTCTCACCTCTTTCCTGGGGGACTCCGGAGACTTCTGATGGGTCCATGTGACCTGGGCGCGCAGGGATTTGGGGAGACACTCCAGGAAGGCCGTACTTCCCTCCACTCCGAACAAGCGCTTCTCCTGCACGGCCACCCGCTGCGGCTCTGTACAGAGAGAGAGAGAAGGAATGTTATGTGCCGACGTCCAGGAGCCCCAGAACTACAAGTCCCAGCAGGCGGCCCATGCCGGGGCCTCTGTGTTTATGGTGGGAAGCCATTGGTTGATTAAAGTGTATCTGAACCTTCTTTTTTACCTTCCAGTCCTTAGATGAGGCTGCACGCTCACTCACTGTACTGTATCTATGGAGGAGCATCCTAGTGTGACAGGACTACAAGACACCTCCCCAAATCCATGCCACACAGTTGCTATGGAGGTCACAGAGGTGACCTGGGCAGGATAAACAGGTATTTGTAATGGAACGTTGTTACGTGGTGTCAGTGCGGCTCGGCGCACCCGGTGAGAAGGAATTCAGATCTCATTCCTGACCCGGGAGTTGCTGATATTTCATTAGCAGATAATTATAATAATCTTTAATTGTTTCTTCTTATAATCTATTTCCTGTTATGACATCACAGGGGCGATCCCGACACTCACCTCCGGAACACAGGCTGCTGGGGTCGCCGTTTCTTACATCCTGCCGGCGGGACCTCCTGGGGGAAGAGGACAGAACTCAGCACATTGAAGACGGATCGGTAACAGAGAACTGCGAGAACAGTAAGTGAATCCGCCCCGATCACATGACATCCCATCCGATCACATGACATCCCATCCGATCACATGACATCCCATCCCTGCGCTCACAATCCCCATCAGTATGATCAATTCTGATTGGATGCTTTGTGTGCACTTCACACGCTCGCTCCAGTAACACGGAACTCCGGAGATCAATTACCATGGGGAACAGACGTAGCCCCCCCTCCAGAAGGAAGGACAGTGTCAGAGATGATTGGAGGATCTCCAGCCGAGTGATACACAAATAAGATACATTGCTGCTCAGAGTTCGGGGACTCGGAGGGATTTTTAGGATTTCTCTCCGGAATTTGGTGTCAGTTTAAATCCTAAACTCCTAACACCTTCTAATGTGCAGACACTGGAAACGAATTATATGTTTACACACTTGTCTATTTTATGGAGGGTGACTACGTCTGTTCCCCATGGCCCCCGTGTGTGTTGTAAAGTAGTCACCGCTCCAAGCTCCGCCCCCCCCCGGGATGGACTACAATCTCAATACAAATCAGTAAACTAATCATGAGATTGTAGTCCATCCCGGGAGAG